CGCCGCCCGCCGCCCCCGCCGTCCTTCCGTTTCCACTGCGCGGTCTGCCGCAGTCGTAAAGTCGCGACTATAAAAAATTGTCGTAGAGGAGCAGCTACCCCCTGAGACAAACGCTGTATTTCGATAACATTGTTCTCCATTGTTTTGCGTTTTTATCGCAATTATATAATCTCGAAAGAAAACGCGACAATTTTAACAACACACAGTTATAAGGAAAAAAGTTTCTCTCGATCGAGCGAAACGCAAAATTCGCGTGATCGCGAAAATAGTTGAGCATGGAAATGTAGAGGAAGACATGAAGGTACTTGTGTTGTCGTGCACTCTCGGAATCATATTCCGCAAAAAGTCGTGCGTGATGCGCGGCACGGCGTGCCGGAAGCGAAACGGCCTAGCCGCGCCGGTGCACCGATGTATACGGGTAACCAACCTGCGAGGCTAATGTTATGGTAACGTGAATCGATCGCCTTGATTTTCGTTCTCCCTCCGTAACATCTGTCACGGCAAGAATTCGCCGATCGGACATGCGTGCGCGTTACGAGAACCGTACAACCGTAATACGTGCTTTCGCTGTACACGAGCTTGTTGGAATGAATCTGCCGAGAGTAGATTCGCGAAATTATCGCCAATATTCTACAACGTCTAAATTTTTCTACTGCTAAAAGTGCGCGATTTTTCCGAAAAATTTCTCTAAAAGAAGTTTTTAAATTTTTATTCTCGAAAGGACACGCGGTGGAGGGGCGAAAAAAGGATTTACTTCGCTACGTATCATGAATACGTATCATGGCAATTACGTGCTGTCGATTGCGACGGAGAAGCACTATAATTAAAAGGGACACGTTCTTCGATCGGAACTTGGACGGAATTGTGATAAATGTTTCTATGTTTGTTCCTATCCCGTACGACAGATGCGATGAAATACAAATACGATATTAAAATTAAAATTGATCAAACTTGGGAGATTTTTATTCTCGTGGAGAATTAAAAACACTATAGGAGATAATAAGCATAAAGCGCGTTATCTTTAAATACATATCAGTATACTACGCGGTAGTATCATGGCTAGCGACGACAGATGAAGGCAAATGTATTCTGTGATATAATCTTTATGCGCTTTAAGAAGAGATGAAAGCTTTTATTTGCACCAGTTGAAAATTAAACTGGTATATTATCACTTGCTTTTGAAAAAATGGACGATAATGCGCACTTTAAGTACATCTCGATAGATTCGACGTATGATAAAAGTACATTATCTCCGAATGCACCAAACGTGCAAAGATTAACGACCTCATTGTTTGAATCGTAAAATTCTTCTTCTTTTGATAGCTTATCGAGAAGAGAGCTTGAAATCGTGGGGAGAGACGGCTCCGTAATATAAAAACTAAATTACTAAAATGTAGACTTTGCAACGCGCGGATTATACCGATATCATGTTGGATAAGAAAAAGAAGATTGCGAGTCAATCGGGCTCTTGTCGCGGCTGTGAAATTTAAAGAGGTGCATCGATTTACGGCAGGATAATAGATGAGAGATACAAGACGTATATATAAAATTAATCAAGTATCTAATAGTTATATACGAAAGAATGGAGTCTCATATCGAGGAAACGAGGCTCGGGTAGTCGGGATTGACAACAATGTCTAGACCAGGCAAGGATCCGGTACAGAAGTGCCACTCGGATCCGGGTGCAGCTGGCGCTTCGTGCAGCCTAAGCAAGCGGATCTCACGGAGGCAAGTGCCGTGCGTTCCATCCTCACCGAATGCACGCAAATGTGTATTAACTTTGGATGGATACAGTTACGTGATCGGTGAGTGAAGACGCGGACGCGGTAACATTCCGAATGTATCATATGGAGTAATAATGCATGAATAAATACAAAGGATATAACACGTACATGCAGTAACAACACGTAATCATTTTGTATGAAAGGCGCTTATATTGCGATAATCCGACCTACGAGAAATGAAAAAATAGACATTGGTTCCGTGATAAAGTACCCTGTATTAAAGTTTATAAAACAATAGTCCTTTTCCCGTGCTCCTTAATTGGTGTGTAAAAAATAAAATATAAAACAAAATAACGCAAAAATAAAACACTTTAATCTCACGATTTTGTAAAACGAACCTTTGAATAGAGGCCATTGTTATGTTTAGCGACGATTACTAGTTGAGATCAAATTACTTCAATGCTCGAAATCCATTTAATCTTTGATTCAACTATCGCGAATAAAAAATAAAAATTCTACAAAAGTTTTATTTTCAGCTTTTGTTTTTGCTGCATTATACTAGATCTTGTTTTTTTTTTGTCTAATTAAATAGTCGTTTTATTTTATTCTCGCCAAAGGTTTAATTTGCAACTACGTGAGCTTAATTCGCAACAACACTGGTGTATTCATGTAGTTCTGAGGCTTTCGCGATACACAGTTTTGTTATCCCGAAGGATAATTAGCATTTTAGAGCTCGCCGCAAGATGTAACATGGTTACATTATCGTTACGCGAGTTTACGACACTGTATTCACATATTAATGTCCCTTGCGTCTCTGTTTAAGATTATGCGCGCGCTCAAACTCGGCTTTAGTATCTATAAATGCATGAATGCTAACAAGTTAATGAATTATAAATTGCATATTATTATCAATTACTCAAGTATGAGATAAAATTACTACAATTAATTTCATTAATAACAAAACATAATTTATATATAATATGGTAAAATAATATATAAAGCGCGGATTAACAAATTTAAAAAGATGAATTTAAAGTTTTCTTTTTTTTACGCTTTTTGTATGTAATTGATTAATGATTTATATTTTATTTGTATTAATTATATATTTTTTTATGAATTTGAGAACAAAAATTTGTAGGATTTATTTATCCGTTAATCTGCATTTGAAAAAATTTCAACGGAAACAATAACTTTTTAATCGTAAAACAAAAATTTTAATTACACGTATGTACATATGAACGTTCCAAATTTACTCTTACACTAATTAAAGGATGTATATAATGAAGAATTCGTTTATATATACGCGCGAAAAGTTTTATATTCCAAGTTTATCGACTTAATTAATCCAATCATGTGCGAACAACGTGGAGGATATCGGAGAGATTTTGTTTCTGAATCCATATTCGCACATAGTTTCGCGTTTTATGTACTACATTTTTTTTTTGGTAACATAAGTTACTACAAGCAATATAAGACGTCAGTAACACGTCAGTAATAATATCCTTTGATGAAATTTATCTAGCTTATATTATCACCGGAAAGTTCAAAGAAAATGCACGCATTTTATACTTATTGTTAGACTATAATAACCATTTCTTTTGTTTTGTTGAACTTTGCTCGACGCATCTTATATGTTGTTATCATCAAAAGACATTATATTATAAAAGTATTATCATGAAGAATCCACATTTATTAAAAATTGATGTACTCAAAAATTTTTAACGCATTCTTGGATTTTTATCCGCCGCGACGAAACAAAACTTGGATGTTTCTCAAATAAAAAGCGAAAAGGTTACAATCTATCTACGAGCTCAACGTGTATCGATCTCTTATGTGTACTCTTGCGGAAGTTTTATATTTTCACGATCGCCACGAAAAAAAGGTATCGGTCTCTCAGGTCCAATTATAGATTTCCTATGTTCTAAATTCAAAGTATTGGAAAGCCTATGTACTGCCAAATATTCATCACGAGATAAATTTCGATGCATCCTACTAGCGAGAATAAAATTATTACGACACTCTGACTTCAAATATTTTGAGATGTTTATTTTAAAGATATACATTTCGAAATTTCTTATCGGTTTAACGTATTATACGTTACTTACGCACCGTCTATATAAGTTTTTTTTCAATTTAATTATCTCACAAAGTTTAAATAGAAAGAATGTAGATAGAGATTTTATGTCAAGAAATATCTATATATACAATACATATATATAGTCAGATTCTTTACAAATACGATAAATTATTGGCGGAAATTTGTGCTTTACAGAACTGACGACCGTTTAAAATAAAAGTTGCATGCAACTATGCATTATTCATGAACAAAGGTTCGTGACTCGATACTTTTCTTTTGCTGTGTCGCATGTAACACGTAATATGATTATTTCCGCATTATCCGTTGCGATAAGCGATCATTAGAGAGTGTGCGCTCGACGAGCGCAATCAATGTCCGGCAACAATTTAATTCAGAATAATCCGACGTTTCTCCGCGGCTCATTTGGTAGCTGGAATACAATCTCTCTCTCTCTCTCTCTCTCTCTCTCTCTCTCTCTCTCTCTATCAATGTAATTATAATCTCGCTATTAATAATTAATGACTGCGACGCGCGTATACATATTCCAATCGCGGCAACTCGTTGCATCTCGTACAACATCGCGTGTGTAATGTTCGAGAAGCGTAATGTATCGGACATTCAACCGAAAAAGCCACACGCGAACGTGCGAGGGCAGTTATTAAGAATTATGCAAATCGGAACCGCTGCGCCATGCAGAGCGCTTTACACTTATCTCGCATACATTAATGCGGCAGAAAACAAGAGCGAAACGTGTTTGCGTCCCTTCCTGGTTAATCTTATTTTTCTCTCGGGACACGAGAGAGAAAAAGAAAGAGAGAGAGGGAAAGTGTGTTAATATGGGCCGTGTACATGGTCGCCGCTACTGCAACTCGACGTAACTCGAAAACTACTATCATTAAAGCGAATTCAAAAGAGGTCGTTTGCAAAATGAAAACGGGTCGCCTGCGGTTAATGAAAGACGCACGCTTTGTTTTAAAAACTTTCATTTTTCTGATCTGCTTATATTTCTATTCTTTTTTTTTTTTATGCGTCTCTGCTCGTTAAATTTCTTCGATGTATCTCATTAATGAATTTTATTCACTAACAACTTCCATTCAGTGAATATGCGTGGTATATATACGTGAGATTAAAATAATATTTATTCTTTCCTTTTACACAATTTTGCGGAACATCTTGAATAAGGACCCTGGAAAATCTCTTAATCCGTCAAGTCTCCAGCTGCTGCAGAAGTTTGGGGTCGAAAACGAGAATCATTTAATGAGATTAACGTCTTTTATCAGCGTCGATCTTCACATCGCTCTTCTCATACTCGACTTAACTCGACTTTTCCGCCGGCTGATTGCGAGAAAATTCAATCGTTGTTTGTGGCAAAATTATTTGTGCGATTAAATTTCTTTGAGCGCGCCTATCCGTTTTCCCTAACATGAGTCGGGGGATGTAATAGAATTATCGCGGCGTGTCCAATCTACAGATTTAATTAATCCTGTGACATTTGGCGGAAGAGGAAGCTGATGTTTTATTTTCATGCTCGATCTTTGTTATCATGCACGAATAACTACATCGTTTATCAATTTACTCTGATGTAAGCCATTGCAGAAACACGCAGTAATGAATAATGCATAAATCAACTAATCAAATTACATAAAAGAATGATCAAATTAATGCATCATTTTCTTTATGCGTGGTGAAAGTTCAAACGTTAATAATGCAAATTTTATAATTATATAATATAATTGTAGGACACACACACACATTTATTTTTTATATGTATAATAAAATGTAAGCTAGATAGATAAAATGTATAAATATGTAGTCGAGTTTCTTACCAATTCAAAGAACGATATTAATTGCTGCTCGTCTTAAATATAGTTACAATGATCGTTCAATGTTTACATGTATCCGCTGTTATTGCTAACATCCACTTGTGTGTTTGATCAATCTCACATAAACGTCGTCTTTTACTCGGTCAATTAATTGCCCGTCTCGAATTTCTCTTGTATGATTTATGTATGTCTGCAAAACATAATGAATGCATATAGTTTTGTGTTACTATATATTTAGAAAGTATTTGAAATACCATGCAACCAGCCTTTTTTTTTTGTAAATGTGTTATATATTTTCTTTTCGTAATTTCTATTTTTGTTCGACTTAATTCGATTTCGATCAGTTTGTATTTAGATCGTGAACAATCATCAGCAAATAATCGCTACGATTAATTAGTAAAAGAAATACAAATGAGGAAATAAGACAAATGGGCATTATTAAAGTGAAAAAGCCGAATTATCGAAGCATTTATCTCGTCAATATGTGCGAGCGCGTTGTTTGCAGTTTGTAATTAAGCTGATTTGTTGTAATATTTTGCACATTCAATTTCCAACATACTGTTGGTCAAATTTCCGTTTATTTTTTGCATTGAGTAAAAGTGCAGTTGTAGACATAAACCGTATAAAAAAAAAGAATTCCGTACATTTGCTTTAACACTTGAAACATCATTTTCACTCAAGAATGTGTGATCAACCAATCGAAATCTGTACAATGCCATTGAGTTTGCAAAAAAAGGATAAGAAATAGAAAATATTGATTTTTCTTTAGCTTTGCTGGCTTCGTTAAATTGTCTTGAAGTAACGTCTTGTGGAAGAAACGAACGTTGATCGAGAAACATTGATTTCTGAACAAGTTTATTTGTCATTTCCTTTAAGAAAAGAGGAGACGCTTCATTAATGCTTTTCTCGCTGTTATTGCGAATGATTTACTCTATTTTTATCTTACCTATTATGTTCTATACGAGTCAATTTCGAATACTTATAGGGAAGAAAAAAGAGAAAAAGGGGGATATTTGCGGCGTAATCATTTTATAAAGTCTATGAAATCAAGAGATTGAGATGTACATATTTTGAAGAAATATTCTGGAAAATTACATATTTTTTTATTTAAACCAATAATTATACTTGATTGAAAAAAATTATTTGGCATGCAAAAGAACGTGAAAATATGTAAATTGCTT